AGCCATCACACGAATTGATATATGCACACCCACGTTCATTGCAGCACTGTTCACAATAGCAAAAAGATGGAAACGACCTGGGTGCCCATCAGCGGATGAATGGATAAACAAATTGTGGTATATCCACACAATGGAATACTATGCAATGATAAAGAACAATGGTGAAGCCGTGAAACATAACATGGAGGAATCTGGAGGGTGTTACGCTGAGTGAATTTAGTCAGTCACAGAAGGACAAATATTGTATAAGACCACTATTATAAGAACTCAAGAAAAGGTTTAAACACAGAAGAAAACATTCTTTGATGGTTACAAGGGTGGAGAGGGAGGGTGAGGGTTATTTACTAACTAGATAGTAGATAAGAATTAGGTGATGAGAAGGACAACACACACTACAGGGGAAGCCAGCACGACTGGACTAAACCAAAGCTAAGAAATTTCCTGAATACTATCAAACACTTTGAGGGACAGAGTAGCAGGGGTAGGGGTCTGGGGACCATGCTTTCAGGGGACATCTAGGTCAGTTGGCATAACAAAGCTTATTAAGAAAATGTTTTGCATCCTACTTTGGTGAGTGGCATCTGGGGTCTTAAAAGCTTGCAAGTGAGCATCTAAGATGCATTAATTGGCCCTCACCACCTGGAGTAAAGGAGAATGAAGAACACCAAAGACACAAGGAAAGTATTAACCCAAGAGACAGAAAGGGCCACATAAACCAGAGACTTCATTAGCCTGAGACCAGAAGAACTAGATGGTGCCCTGCTACCACCAATGACGGCCCTGACAGGGAACACATCAGAGAGTCCCTGATGGAGCAGGAGAAAGGTGGGGTGCAGAACTCAAATTCTAGTAAGAAGACCAGACTGAGACTGGAGGAACCCCAGAAAGTGTGGCCCCTGGATGCTCTGTCAGCCAAGAACTAAAACAACTTCTGAGGCCAACTCTTCAGACAGGGATTGGACTGGACTATGGAACATAAAGTTATACTCGTGAGGGGTGTGCCTCTTAGCTCAAGTAGGTACAAGAGACTAAATGGGCAGCTTCTGTCCAGAGGTGAGATGGGAAGGCAGAGAGGGTTAGGAGCTGGTTGAATGAACATGGGGAATCGGATGGAAAGGAGGAGTGTGCTGTCACAGTATGGGGAGAGCAATTAGGGTCACGTAACAATGCATGTATTAATTTTTGTACGGGAGACTAACTTGAAATGTAAACTTCATTTAAACTACAACAATAAATAAAGGAAAATGCGACTAGCATAAATTATAAATCACTTCTAGCGATGTCTGTTTTAATAATGTAATATGTGAAACATTTAAAACCATTTTGCTATTTTGCATGAAATAATAGGCATAAATGAGAATGCTACTTATTTCTTTGATGCACCACCTTCATCCCCCATCTCCTCGGAAGAGGGAGAGAAAAAAATCTTCTGATGTTTGGAACAACGATTACATGTTATTACTCTTTTGTTTTGGCATTTTTTGCCACTACCTGTAAAAGAATGCCTGGTGGAAAATTTCCAGCAATGATTAAGAAAGGGGGGTTGAGTGAGGTAACTTCAGGAATGTGAGTTATAATCTTGGCACCATCATTCAGTAGTTATACAACTTTTCTGATCCTGAGTTCTTTTCTTATGAAATGATTTCTATGGTGGTGACATATTTGTCAAAGCACTGAGCTGATTGTGTTGTATTTTGAAACCCCAGGTAGCAAGTCAGTGGCAGAACTTGGATTAGAACACAAAATTCCTGCCTCTCCATTTGGTACTTCTTTTTGTGACTCAGCTTAATCCTTTCAGGGAAGTATTCAGACCACATCTGCCTAGATATCCTGCCAGTTTCATTTAACACCAGTGTTAGGTGAATGAGCCTCCTGCCAGCTGTCCTCTTACTGAAAGCAATAAGGTTTATATTCTCAGTTTTTTGATTAAAAATTATCTTGCCTAAACAAAGAGCCTCTCACTTTTACTGTTCTAACACCTTCTGCAGACTGCCCTGCTTTCAAGGCATTTTTGTGTATTGCTTCTTAAAGGGACTTGTCTTAGGTAAGGATCACAACAGTTGTTCATGTATTTTTGCCCTGGGGCTTGTTCATTGGAAACAGGAGCCTTATTATGATTCGTTATTAAAAGGGAATATAAAGTTAGGTCCAGGTGGTGTCTGGTTTATGGATGTTCATGGTTTATTAATATATGAATTGCCCATTGCAAATGGTCACAACAGCTAGTGTATTCTGGAACTACCCAGACTTCACTACTTCTAAAAAAAACTTGGTTTTCCTTCTCCTCCTAGTTGTTTAACTGCGATAAGCTTAGAATTGCCTAGGCCAAGCCTATACCCCTGTCTCTTCCTTGTTCTAATGCAGGTCCTAGGTAGGCCCTTCCATAACTGGTCCTGGTAATAAGCAATGGGATAACGGCCCCAGGCTTAGAACCCGTCTCCCCGGAATTGTCTCCATCCCCACTCCACCTCACTAGTCCCTCAAAGATGTAGATCAGGTTTCACACCCTGTAGCTCATGCACCAACTTGTATAAAATACACAGGCTAGTTATAGTCAATACTATGAATGGGGCTACTCTGAAATCTTAATGCCTTTTTTAATCACAAGTTGTGGGCCTAAATTGCTATTATGATTCATGTCCCCTCTATGGACCAAGTTTATTTAGCTTTATACTCCTCATCAGTATCAAGCATGTGTCTGGTGCGCTCTAGTGTTTAAGTAAAATAGGAATAAGAATGATAAAAAGCAATTTTTTAGCTTATGCAACTGTCGTTATTGTTAATAATAATAATGTCATACAATCTCAAAAGGATTATGGACTTGTTTCAGGGATAAAGAGGTTGGTGAGAAGCCCAAGACTGAAATTCTATTCTGCAGTAGGCTAGTCAAAGGAGAAAGAAATCCCTAGCAAGCTTATGTTTTGCCAGCTTCACAGAGCAGCTGATGTAATAGAACAACTCTTTCCTTCCTATGCACCCCCTCCTGGCTTCCCATTCGTAAGTGAGTGGCATCTGTTTTGATCTTCCTATAATATTTTCTCTTTAATATAGCCTCTAAGTGAGCTATGCCCAAGAATAAAAAAAGAATTTTCATCATGACAAAATGTTAATGAGAACCTCTTTTGGTGGTATGTGTGATGTGTTACAGTGAGAATAAGAGAGAGGGAGAAAATATGAATATGAGAATGAATGAATATTGAATATGGGTGGAAGAAAGCTTTTGTATTTCTGATAGCCCAGAGGGAAACCAGGACATAATTTCCTGTAGAATCACTGTCAGAGAGAAGTATGACACTTTAGGTATGTTTTAGTTGTAGGGTTATTTTACGGGAAAGTGCATTCCAACTTCCAGAGCAGAATTAGAGATGATTTGATGTTTGGAACCCAGCCTATTGGAGAGTTGAATTCTGGCTAGGTAGATTTTTTTATTAGGCAGTATTGTAAAAGCTGTGTGAATTGCTGAAGCAACAAAAGGAATTGCTAACTTGATAACATTTTTCATACATATAAGACAAGGAAGGGGATAGGAATCTAGCCTTGCACCCTTACGCTAGGAATAACTTTCAGAGCAGAGTGTAAAAAAATGTGAAATAAAAAAGGCCCAGATTTCATTTCAGTTGAATGGAAAGTTCAAAGAATGTAGCCAGGTTTGCCATAGTAAGCCATTTTCTCCTCTCTGACTTGTTTGATAGAATTGGGGTAGTTTTTGTGGGAGGGAAAATCTGGTGCCCTAAAGTCAAAGGAAAATAAGAAGAGGAAGCTGTGATGAGATGGGAGAGGTGAAAATGGAAATCTTGTTTTTTAATAAAATTTTTCAAAAGAACAGGTAAGAGATAGAGGAAAACAGGAAGTCATTACAGGCACAGGGCATGCTGTACTGTAACCATTGCTGGAAAACAAATATCGTACAAACTCTTACTGTGCATCCATTTTAACTCCTTATCCTCTAGTGCCCAGGCCTCGATATTTTCTTCCTTTTTTATACTCATTATTATGGTCTCTCTGTCCCTCTTGAATCAACTTGATGGCAGTGGGTTTGGGAACAAACAGGACTTGCACAAAGTCACAAAAATATTCTACAAAAAAAAAAATTAATGACATCGAATGAGTCAATGACATGCCATGGGAAAACAAGCAAAGTACACCAAACTAAAATTCAGCTCTGGGTGTGAATACCACTTTCTCATTCACTGCTTTGGATTCCAGTGTTGCAAAAGTAATCTTAGTTAACCTGTTTTAGTAACAATATTAAAACAAAAGTACAGATAGAATGCAAACATTTTAAACATGTTTATTAAATCAGTTATTAGTTTCTTCCCCAGTTCAGGCCTCTGTGTTTTCTTCCCTTTTTTTATGTTCGTTCTTATGGCCTTTCTGTCCTTCTAAAATCAACTTGATGGCAAGGGGTTTGGTTTGGGGGTTTTCTGTTCCTCTTTTCATTGTTCTTTGTTCTCTCATCTTCTGTCTTTGCCTCATGTCTTTCCCTTTTCTGACACTTTTATTTAATTCCTTAATGTCTTAGTTAATTTATGTTTTGTAAGAAAGTACTCTAAGTTTAGGATAAGAAAAGGAACATTTTTCTAACAAGCTACTTGATGTAAATTTATAGGAATTTTTAGGTGAAAAGAATGTAGAAAAAATTGGAAATTTGGTCACATTAAATAGCCTAATATATATCTAAAATCTTCGGAGTGTACAAGACCTTGTTAAAAAAGCTTCCGGGAAACATTATTTTTTCATGAAGAGTCTACAACAGCATTTTAACTGTTGCAACTGGCTTTTAGGTAATCATTTAGATAGTTCTGGTAAGAATATGTAATCCCATGTTCTTTCTCTCATAGGTTCACCTTTTACAAGTCTACCTGCCAGAGAAGAAATGATGGCAGAATACTCTAACCTTTCCTTGGAGACTCATAACATAACACTGACTGGTAAATGTATCATGTTTTGAATAATACAATGCCGAAATAAGTTTTGTTTTGTTGTTAGTCAAGCTACTTTTTTTTGATTCGTAAAGTGCTATCTATCCCTGCTCGTGGTTTGGTGGGAGAAACATCAGTACCTTATATAGTTATAATGCAGTATGATGAGAATCTAAGTCCTCTGAGTGCAGGGAGGAGGAAGCTGTTCCGACTTGGTTGAGCTAAGAAAGGTTCTCAAGAAGAGAGGACACCTGAGAAGGGGAGGATTACTTTAGTTTGCAGAGTCTCTTATGTTTTCAACAATTTTTGGTTATGTATCCATTACGATTACTCTGCACTGAGAGGAGAAGTCATGCATTCCCTGGAAGACCCTGAGCCAGAGAAGAATTAATGACATCGAATGAGTCAATCACAGTGGAAAAACAAGCAAAGTACTACAAACTTCAACTCAGCTCTGAGTGAGAATGCCAGTTTCTTATTCACAGCTTTGGATTCCAGTGTTGCAAAAGTAATCTCAGTTAACCTGTTTTAGTAACAGTATTAAAACAAAAGTATAAATAGAATGTAAGCATTTTAAATATATTTATTAAATCAATAATTTGGTTTTTTTCCCCAATTATATGCCCAGCCTTTGTCCTCTAGTCTTTAAGGACTGTTTCTTTACTTCTATTTAATATGCGTAAAAGGTGTTTTCTCCCCCCAGTTGGTACCGGTGGAATGTTTGCACTGAGCTTTTTGGTAGAATATTTTTATGACTTTGTGCAAATCCTGTTTGTTCCCAAATGTCCCCATGTCAATATCTGGAGTTCATTCTTACTTTTAAAAGTGATTACATTTCTGTGTTGTTATTTGTTTTTTTTTTCTTTTCATGTTCTAGTTATTATCCTCTGTTACGGTGAAATGTTTCTCTAGGAGAAATTCATATGAAAACATAACTTTGCAAATTCTTTGACCAACATAGCAGTATTGGCAGCAGCTCACCCCTCTTTACCCAGTACAGCTGGAGGCTAGGAAACTAAGAGTCAGGTTCGCAGGGCGAGAGCAAAGAAAGAATGGATGTTTTCATCTATGCCGGGCTGGTTATAGACTTACTTAACCTGTCTGGGGATCCGTGGTGGTGCAGTGGTTAAAGCGCTTGGCTGCTAAGCAGAAGGCTGGCTATTCGAACCCACCAGCCACTCCGTGGGAGAAAGATGTGGCAGTCTGCCTCCTAAAGGATTTACAGCCTTGGAAACCCTATGGCGGCAGTTCTACTCTGTCTTATAGATCGCTATGAGTCTGAATCAACTCCACAGCAGTGGGTTTTGGGTTTAACCTGTCTGGAAGGCTTAAATCTGAACTACTCTTATTCTAATAGTGCTATTAAAACCAGTATTCTTACTGTAACAAAGGAATATTTCAACATTAATTTTGAAACGTTGGATCTCTGTGTTGAGAACTAAATGTTGAATTTTCACATGAATTGTTGCTCTGGTTGCATCCTTGCATCAAAACGTTTGATTTTAGGAATTGCCTTTAAGGAAATGTAGAATTCAAATTTGAAGATGTACTCATGATTATTAGGAATGATAGAGTTCCTTCTTACTGCTGTCGCTAGGGTTTTTAATCTACTTTCTGAATGGAATGCTTTCATATTGTCCTATCATTGTTTACATATTCCAGTATCATTGGATATTATTGTTCATGTTTGTCTGTAAATAACACTTACAGTATTGTTACTTATCCTTTCCTCTTTCATTCTGGGCATTTTAAAAGTTTATTTTCCTGTTAGGATAAAATGTTTCAAACACAATACATACTTTGCAAATTTCTCGACCAGTGTGACAGCATTAGCCCATCTCTTCATATACTTACGTGAAGATGCTTGAAATTGGGAAACAAAGGGTCATGTTATTGGGAGAATGAAAAACATGGCCTTTGGCTCATGAAAGCCTAGTTGTTTAGTAATTTTATATGTTTAAAATGTTGCTAATTATTTACTTCACAAACACATGGTAATTACTTTATACCATGTGCATATTTACATTTAATCACCCTAACAACCCCGTGAGGCAGGTACTAATGTTATTTGTAATTTGCAGATGCAAACGCGAGGAACAAATAGATTCAGTCACACAGGTGGTAGCTGGGTTTTTAACCCAGGCAGTTTGACGTCAGAGCATGCTATTAACCATTATGCATTCAGCCTTTCTTAATAACCAGTTATTCATACCTTTTAACAAACAGTGTTATTAAAACAATTACACCTCTTTTAAATAAGTTGACATTACTTTTGAAATGACGTATTCAAAAATTATGAAAACAAAGCTATTTTAATTGTCTTATTCCTAGACCAATTAGTCTTAGGAACTTCATTTGCCAGTGTTATGAATATATTTGTGAAAGTATAATTGAATTTACTATGAAGAAACGTTTTTCCTCTCTCTAACATCACTGAATTTTTCAAACTGATCTTTTGATAACAGGCTATTTTTATACCACTGTGCCAGATTTCCCAATGTCAGTGTTTGGAATTCATTGTTTGTGTTACTGCAATTAGAGTATTCCTGTATTGTTACTTTTACTTTTTCTTTCCCTCGACTTATTTTAGAGTGTGGTGTCTCAATCAATGTGTTATAGTTTAACCAGAGAGGTTAAGATCAAAACAACAGGCTGTAGTTTTCTTGACCAGCCTGATAACGTTGGCATCAGCTCTCTCCGTATTGACTCATTGGCACATTTTATTTACCATGTTGAGACACAAGCTGCTAGTCTGGCAAAGTGCTGCTCAGGCAAAGACGTTGAGTAAGCAGACGCTGGAGGTGCAGATACGCAGAAAAATACACAGTGTAAGACTTGGGATGATTACTCAAGGTAAGGAAAGGCAGCCATGTTGCCTAGACCTAGCCAGAGAAAGGTGTGGGTTAGGGCTACTCAGACTCCAGGGTAAAGTACATAATCAGTGAGGTTGAGAACAGGAAAAAAAGGGAGAGTCCTTTGCATTTGACTCCGCAGACACTTTGTTGCACAGAAGATTCTAGAGTGACTTGAATGAAGTGCAGATGTTTATAATGCTTCTCAGAAGCAGACTACCAGTTACTAAATAAATGTAAAGACTGTTGATGTACAGAGAAAAATGTGTGAGTCCAAAAATTCGCAGAGAATGAAAGAAAGAGAAGAGGGAAGAAAGACCCAACATAACAACACAAGTGGCAGTAGCTGCAAGCAACTGTTGTTCTATACCAGAGTTTCTCCATAGCGGCAACGCTGATATTTTGGACTAGATAATTCTTTATTGTGGGGGAAATATTCTGGCCATTGTAGGATGTTTAGTAGCATCTCTAGCCTCTACCCACTAAATGTGAGTAGCACTTCCTAAGTTGTGACAACCAAAAATACCTCCAGATGTTGCTAACTGTCCCTTGAGGAACAAAATTACCCCCTGTTGAGAACCACTACTTAACTCATTAAAAAGATAGCTGTGCAACTGCCCTCCATCCATGCATCATGCGAAGACAGATTATTTAATATTCACATGGCTCTAGCATTTAGTAGAGAATCCCACCAAAAAGTTAGATAGTGGTACTGAATAACACATACCAGTACTGCATCCAGATATAGGACAGGGAACCTGGTCCATTCTTCGCATCTCTTCCCTCCCTCCTGATAATATTCACATTCTCTCTGTCTTTGAGAAGTCAGTTAAAAGCCATGAATTCAATAAAGTACATATGGAGAAGCACTGTTTCATTTTCTCTCGTATGCATTTGATGTTTTTATTAACTTTTAAATATGTAAGTAAGTCTGAGTTCATTCTTTTTTTAATATGAAAATATTATTTCTAGCAATACAGTGGATTAGAGAATCTGTAAACCCTCCTGCCACATCTAGAAATTCCAGATAAAATATAGCAAACATTCTTTTAACTATATAGCTAAGTGTACAAAAAAGGAAAGACAATTTACAATAGCCAAAGCTGGTGAGCAGCAGTAAACCTATGAGTTGATGACATGTTAAGGTTCCTTGTTTTTGTAGCCAAGGCACATGGGTTTTAAGAGCCACAGAGATACAAGAATCAAGACCATGAGTCCTTGCAAGGAGGGGAGTTGGAGCTGATAACCTCCCAAAAGCTGACCCTTTGTAGGCTATAAACATAGTGGAAGATTTGACCTAGGGCTTAGAAAAAGGAAAAAAATCAGCTGACCAGCACAAGATGATAAGTTGGCTTCTTCATTTCAGCTCTGATCTGCATTAAAAGCAAAAGACTTCCCTAAGTATTCAGAGAAATGGACCTGCCCTCACACAGACTTAGATTTCAAATTTACATTACCTGTGTTAGACAGGAGCCTCCAAATTGAGAAATACCAAAAATGATCCGTAGCAGGTGATACTTTGCCAGGAAAACAAATGCAGAAGATCTGTGGAAGGGATACATCATCCACCCTGGCTCTGCAGTCCCTACTGAGGATGTGCTCACAGAATTGTAAAAAACACTGGACAACTCAGAGTCAGCTAAGGAGCAGCAGGATTAGCTATCCTGGAACTTCAGATACTAGAAATACAAGGTAGGAGCATAAAAGAAGAAATCAAACACATAAGGGAAAACAAACAAATATTTCACGATCAAAAAAGCCAAGCCGGTTTGAAAAATAACCAAATAGAACTTCTGGATATAAAAATTAAAATTTGAGAGATGAGGTCAAAGCTACCTTGACTACACACCTCTTCAATCTCTGCTCTCTCTCCTCTTTTCCACAGGTAATCCCTGTTCAGTAGTATGTGTTTCTTTCCCATTAAAAAAAACAAACAAACACGATGCCATCTAGTATATTCCGACTTACAGTGAGGCTATAGGACACAGTAGAACTGCCCCATAGAGTTTCCAAGTCTAGAAATCTTTATGGAAGCAGGCTACCACATCTTTCTCTTACAGAGCGGCTGATGGGTTCGAACCATCAACTTTTAGGTTAGCAGCCGAGTGCTCCTTTTCTTTTCCATGCTTTACATATATATGTATGTTTCCACAGAAACTATGTAGTATTTTTTTAATATTAATGATAGAAGAATATATATATTGTTCTGGAAATTGCTTTTCTTCATTGAACCTTAGTTGAATGAAAATGGTCACCACCTTAATCATACTGGGAATTCTCATGCACTATGCTGGTTTTGTACTGACAATTCATTGTTTTTCAAACTTTTTAAAGTGCTACCCAAAGTAAAAAATACATTTTACCTTGTAACTTGGTATACTACCTTACACATGTACACAAACTCACACTGAAACAAAATCTTCAGGCAATATGTATATTAAATATGTGTTGTATTCTGATAGTTTTTTGTCTCTTTTCTCCTAATCCATTAAAAAAAAAAATTGGGTTATAACTACTAAACTGATTTCATGATCTACTAATTTTATCTTACAATTTGGAAAATTATATTCCATTAATTTCTTGGTCTTTTCCAACATCATTAACAC